TCAAGTCCTCGATCGATTTGCTGGCACCGATGTTGGGATCCAGCTGTCGCTAAAACGAGCTACCTGTTAGTTTACCAGTAATAATCGGAGAAGCGAAAAAGGAACACAATTCTATCCCACACTCTATTCACTGACAAGCGAGAGTCGTAAAGAGCACGTGGTACGCCGGGGGACTCCCAGCGGGCGGAGGTGGGGGTGTCGAATTTGACAAGTGGAGTGAGGGGGGTCGTACATAGCATGAGAAAAACTTTATTGGTAGTTGATTCCCCCTGCTTCACGCGCGCTATCGACATCGTTAGGAGAACACTCATTGGAAGGGGTTGGGGAGGGGGCGTATTTTCTAACAGTTTTCCCCAGCGGGGAGGAAGTTTCCTGGTCATGGAGTAACCGCAGACACTGTTGACAGAGCAGTAGTTCAGATTACGAACTTTTTTCGCAAACTTTACCACCAATAACTTACCCAAACTCTAGTGTCCTTTTCGTAAGTCTCGTCATCATCATCATCCTCTTCTTTTCGCAGTAGTACCACCGAAAACTCTCCCGAGGTCCGTTTTCCTTGTTGATGACGGAACGAAGCCACTCCCTTCTTCATCCTAGTCTAGAAAAGATTCAGAAATACATTTCGTACTGTACAAGGACAAAGAACAAGACGCATCCAGCACGCTCCCAACTGGTTCTGGCTACTACCCGAAATAACTCACAAAATAGCCCTCGAGCTGCGTCGCCCAGTTCTCTTCGAAAGGATTCGTGTCATTGGTGATGTATACGATCGTCTGTTGTCGTTGCGAAACTCCTTGCCTGGAAAGAATACCACTCATTCTATAGCGCTGCTGCTGCTTCTCACATGGGAACTTCTTGTATGCCAGAAAATCTTGTAACGAGGGAAAGGCTAATCTGAACCATTTCAATGAGGAGCTAAAAATTCTCTCGAGGTTCACATACACTCGATATATTCAGTCGAAACGGTGTTAGTAAGCATGAAACGAGCCCATCCACGGCACTTTCTACCACCAATGGTTTTCTTCGTGAATCGATCACTGACCGATCATTATTGGTAAACGCAACAGGGGCTGGCTCATTCTAGCCCTCCTGACAACAACAAGACAACATCGCTGCAGGCCATCGCAGACGGGCGCTT